AGGCTTATGGGATCATCAGAAAAAAGTACGGGCTGTAGCTCAATTGATGTGTTGACGCTTTCACTGCCAAAGGGATGCTGTGCCCGGTTCCCAGCACGTGATGCTCCCCACACGAAAAAAAAAAGAAGGAAAAAACGGTAGTGGGTCTCTAAAGGCCAGTCTAAGGGGAGGGTTGGTACTCTGAGTGCTGGTTAGACAAGTCTGTATGGCAGATATAACATATTGCAGGAAGCATAGGAGCAAAGACAAGGTGCAATGTCAGAGTGGCCCATGGCCTTGAGTACAGGGCTGGATTCTAGGAGTTCTGTGAGAATTCCTTGGCCTCCTTGTGCCATATTACTTGATGAGAGGTGAAACCATGATGGGGAAGAGGACAGCGCTGAGGCTGTTGTTTTTGCTTACTGCAGTAGAATGGAGCCATGACCATGAAACAGAGAAAGATCACATGAGCATTTCTTCCCCGCCACACCCGTCCCACAGTTGTTAATCCATTCATGGGGATTAGTTGTCAAACCCACCAAACTTAATGCATGCCATCATAAACCCCCGTCAGACTCTCCGTTTCTGTATTTCCATTTATGTGTGTCTGCACTTGCATGTGAGAGAGATGCACGGCATGCATCTCGCCACACAGTACACTTTACTGCTCTTAGCTGGTCGTCGCTGCAACAAAATGTAGCCAGTAATAGCTCGAGCAGGCATTCGCTGAACAAGACAGTCTCGGCCAAGCTGATCTATATCACCATACCCAGTGCTGATATCCTGTTTGGACTTTCCTGTGTATTTTGTGCATGTGTGTAGATGATGTGACAACATCTGTTGCTGGGGGCGAGAAGCTGACAAAATTGATTTGGCAGAAGCAATATCAACTGGACGCGAATGTACCAACGGGCCTACCTTAGTTGGTAAACCCGTGAACCGTTGAAATAAGACCGAACTTTTTGAATCCTCGTAAAATCAATTGGACCCGAAAGGCTTGTTGACAATTGAAGGAAGCATGTTGAGAGGTGTTGGAAGTGACAGCCACAGCCCCAAGTCCACACTGAGCTGCAGGCGCCATGCTTCTCGAGCCAATGCTGCCGTGGCAGCTGCTGGATATGGCGGTAGCACCAGCACCAGCAGCAGTTCATTCCGCTCCCAGGTGGCTGGCTCTCCTCCTCCGACTCACAGGTTAGGCATGCTGCATGACATGGGGCAGGATGGCAAGGTGATGAGCTTGACAACTGGTTTGGGATCAGGATCAGGACAGGCAGGTGGGAGTAGTTGTAGATCTGGAGCAGCATCAGTATCAAGCAACATGTTGTCCGCTCATGGCTTACATGGTGCTGGCATGACCACCTGGACTCCTCGTCTGCTGCTACTAGGAGCTGTTGTTGCTGTCTTGGTGTACACAGTGGCAGCTTTCTTTGGTACTAAGGTCCACCAACACAATTCCACTCTAGACCAGATGATTTTCAAGTCCAATTCACCCAAGCAGGACATTCAGTCCCCAGTGTCCAGGCTGGAAAAAGGACCAAGAATGAGGGGATCAGGTTTTGCAGGCCTGCGAAAAGTGGCTACAGGTTGGTTCAATCTGGCCCTGCCTCTGCCGAAATCCAACTTCAAATGATACAACAGGCCCATCATCATCATCATCCCATCATCGTCATTGTTATCACCATCATCGTCATCATTATCATCGTCATCGTAATCAACTCTTTTTTCCCTACCCCCCTATAAGGAAAGAGAGGGTCTTGCGTGACGGTCCCATCTGAGACTGGCTGGCAGTGTTGGTAAGGAGGTCATATGAAGCGGACAGCGTTTTCCTGGGCTCGGTGTCGTTTGGGAAGCAAGAGGTGTTTTTTTCTGGGCCCAACATCTTTAAAGACCGGTGGCAACGGTCCAAACGCAAGAGGCCACTCGAGCAGGGGAGGGCGGCAGGCAGACCCCAGGGAAGTTTTTGGAAATGGGGCGGGTCAGTAGAGGAGTGCGGCGCGAGTTCACCACTTTGCATGCGGAGAGGGACGCGGAGCGAACGACCTGTTTCCTTTGTTGTCTTCTCCCTCCTTTGTCATCCTCCCCTCCATCCATCCTCGTCATGGAAAATGGCCGAGTCTTCCCCCCCCCCC